TGATTCAGATTGAGAAGTGAGCTGTTTGCTTTAGGGTAAACGAAAGATTTAAAACATTTGTGCGAAAGCATTTAGGGGGAAACATTTAATAGCTGCTGAAGCTGAGCTATGAATAGTATGTGAACACGACGGAAAAACACAACCTAATGTACACTAAAAAGTACAAGTGTCTCACCTGCAAGTGTTATGTCATTTTTGTTTTGATTGATACGTACATAAAATCTTTTTACGGAATGACCAAAACTCTATAATTAAGCTGTATTTTCCTTTACAACCTTATTACTAAAAATGTGTTCCCTGTACAACATCACTGGCATTTACCAAAAGCCTATTAGGAATGCAGAATCTCAGGTGCCACCAGAGACCTACTGACTCTGACTGGACATTTTACCCACCTACCCACAGGATTTATATGTCCGTTAATTTTTGAGAAGCACCACTGTAGAAAACAAAACCACTTGACTCCCCATTTTATTCAAGGACTCCCTTCATACTCACAGATCACGTGCATGCTAAGCATTAAACTGAAAGATTTAGATACATATTCCTAGTGGATCTCGTACTGGACACACATTAGAATTACACGGAGGAAAAAAAATTATGTGGAGAAAAAAATGAGAGAATCAGGCCTTACTCCAGAGAATATAAGTTAATTAGTCTGAGACAGAGCTTGAGCAAAGTTTTTTTTTTGTTTTTTGGTTTTTATTTTTAAGCGCCCCTGATAAATCAAATATGTAGACTAGGTTGCAAATTTGCATTATCCCATTTAACTCTTACCTACAAACATAGAGGTATGTATTATTATGTCACAGAGGAACTTGCTCATGGATTTAAAGTCATTTCTGTCTGTCTTCAAAGACATTCTCTTGTAGTTTATATTTCATCACAGTTTATACCTGTCAATGTGTTGGAGTCTTCATGTCATTAGCTGTTTCCAAACTTCCCACCTGGTGACTGCCTCAGCATGCAATTCTCTATGGGAAAGCCAAGAGGGACAGGGCAAGAGAATAAACTCAAGGACCTTAAGTCTAGGCAAGACCGGGATAGAAAGTGCCAGAAGACTCTTCCACAAAAATAGATGAACTGAGTGCTAAACCCTTCAAGGTTACTCAATGAGAAAAGAATGGATTAATGAATCACAGGAGATGAGGAGCTTCAGGTCTATACACATTATGACAAACTGGATTAAGCAAATGAGCTCAGAAGAAATGAAAAGGAGGGTAGGGGACTGGACAGTGATACAGGGGTTAAACACTGTGTTCTTCAAGGCTGACCCACATGGAAAGATTCTGGATTTGCATTCAGGAACAATTCTGAGTATTCTGGGCATGTACATCCTCATGACCCTAGAGCTGGCTAAGGTTGAGATTAGACCACAATGGCAAAGCTCTGTTGAGGGTACTGTCTCTCCTCCCTCGCCCCCCCCCCCCCACCACCCC